AGTGCAGACTCTAGCAGCAATCACCAGACCAGAGATATGTGGTCAGAGCAATGGAGGACCACAGGGGAAAACATCATGACTGCCCTGCGGAGTTTGATCTTCTGAGCCCCAGGATGGGAGAGTGGGGTTTGGGGGATAGCCGCAGGCTAGACAGAACATCAGACTGCAAACAGACATGTAGGAAACTCTCAGAACAGTCTCGTTCTTGATAGGGAATGACCTCCACTGGCACCCCCAAACAGAGCAATTCTGGATTCCAATTGAATTGTTAAGCTGGCTATATAAGCAAGTTTATATATAACAGCTTTTATGCAAAACAGGTCTCATTTATAGTACTAAAAGGTATATTTTTATTCAAGATTCAGACGTTTACATTTTTGCACTTCTTTTACAGGCAGGCTATCTGCCTACGTTCACTTGAGTGCTACAGAGAGACTCTCCATCTCTATGCGTACCCTGCTGCGATTGCACTGCCAGGAAGTCTTCAGGCTAACATCTGCCGAGCTGCATTGGCTGTAGTTTAAGCAGACAGTAAGATAACACCAAGCGACATTTTAAGAGTCAGAGATGAATGCATGATGTATATTATGTCTACTGACCACTTCTAATTTAATCAAAAGTTCCCAGCACAAACTTCATAAGACTTTAAATGTGTTTCCTCCCGCCACTTCCATATCTTACTTCCACAGTCAGAAAATGCTTCCTGCCAAGCTCACAAAAGGGAAATGCAACTAAAGCAGTAAACACAGCCTTCATAGAACAGGTACAACCCCAGCTGCTGGTCCCTAACAATTCTCTAGTTGGACTTAGTATCATCTCCTCTGTTAATACCAGGTAGATCGAATTTATTTTAATACGAATATTTGATAATATTTGATAATATTTTATGTTAATATTATAATGAATAGTAATGCATTATTTTCTAATATTACTAGATACCTTCTATTAATATTGTCAATGACTTTTCATATAGAATTGGATCAAATTAAACATTTCATTTAACCCGCAACAATTTTAACTGAAAAAGCTACAATACAGTATTGACAGTTTTCAAGCAGAGCTGAAACATATATAACCCCAGCTGCTGGTCCCTAACAATTCTCTAGTTGGACTTAGTATCATCTCCTCTGTTAATACCAGGTAGATCGAATTTATTTTAATACGAATATTTGATAATATTTGATAATATTTTATGTTAATATTATAATGAATAGTAATGCATTATTTTCTAATATTACTAGATACCTTCTATTAATATTGTCAATGACTTTTCATATAGAATTGGATCAAATTAAACATTTCATTTAACCCGCAACAATTTTTTAACTGAAAGCTACAATACAGCATTGACAGTTTTCAAGCAGAGCTGAAACATATATCATAAATAAATATGCAGTCACATAAATACATACTTATACTATTATATTTATAAATACATAAATTAAAAGGCAAATCAACTAAAAAGCTGTACCGTTATTTTATGATTCCAGAGGGATTCAGGAAAGTCCAGCACTTACTGTGATCTGACTAAGGGTATACAACCATCTATATTTAGACACTTAAGTCCGAAAAAAATCACAAACTGACCTAAGCTTTTCTCCTTTCTTTGCTATCGCTTCCTCATATAGCAAGTCAAAAAACAGATGTTTAGGAGACTCTCTGCTTTTTACGTATATCTGCTCCCTACGCTCTGCCTCACGCTAAACTTCCACAAGTGTTTGCACAACATTGTGCCCAGTTTCTGAGCAGCGGAAGCAATTATTTCCCAGCCCCTGTATTTGCCCCTTCTGCTCTCCGCAGGTCAAGTGGAACGGCAGGTGAATGTCAAGCCCTTTGTGGGGAAAAGGAGGTGGCTTCAGAAGACAGAGTGGGATTTTTTCCCTGGGGAACAAGAGTAGGCTGGTAGAGAGGACGCACAGGAGACAGGAGTTGACAGACTTCAGCTTGCACAGACTGAACCCTCATTCCAGTGAAAGCTTTGTCTCCTGGGCTTTTGGGGTCTTGTGTGCACAACTTCTCAAGTGAGAGGTTTAAATTTGTCTAAAACAACACAGATTCTTAATTTTCTTAGAGAGGGCAACTTTATCAGCCCAGAGGCTGGAGCATTCCTCTGGAACTGGGACAACTCAAAACAGTAAGGCACTGGAGCCCAGCTCTCCCCCAACCCTCATGATGGTCTTGGTCAGCAGAGTACACATGAATCCCCCTCACTGTGTCCTTTGTCTTTGGGTGTCCTTTGCTACATGCAAAGCCTCTAAACGATCCCAGTCAAGATCCCAAAAGATTCCCTTTTGACTTTTGTGTTCATTAGACAAGGCAATGAGTCATGAAAAAGAAAAACCACTAGTTTCCATCCTGCCGCACGGAGAACACATCGTATACCCTGCCTTAAAAGACAGGCAAAGGAAGTATTTACTTCCCTTTTCAGCAGTCTTTCAGTAATCGGATTATTGCATAACTGTTGTTTTGTTCGTTACGAGTGTGCTTTTAACAGGGTTAAGTACGGAAGGTCTCCGCTTGCAGCGGTATCAGCTCACTCAGTGATGTTATCCTTCAAAAGGAGCAGCAATTCAATTTGCACAAGTCATCTCTGATGGCTGGTGGGAAAACACACGCTGCCAAAATCAGATAATGGATTTGGCATTCCCATGGGCAGGGGCTGGGACAAGATCAGGGGCAAAGTATTGAAGGGATGCAGGGAGAACTTGGGCGAAGCATGGCACTCCCAGGAACAGAGGTTCGGAGTGCCTGGCCTTAGGGCTCGATCTCATGTCTCAACCTATTTATGCCACTATCGTCTCTATTACACCTCCTTCACATAGTCCCGATGAAACTGTGTCACATCAGAGAAAAAGTGGAGGTAGAGGAGATGCTTTCGCTCTCAGAAAACATTTTTATTTCATTACAAACAGCCTGCTCTTTTAGACAGATACTTACTCTTTGCTCAGGGGCAGGGTTAATCATATAGTGGAGTTGGCTCTTGGCTTCACTTTTGACCTGGGGATTTCTGCAGATCTGTTACTGCCACACTCAGGAAATAGCTGAGTCTAGTGATGAGGAGAACAAGCAGTCATTGGTTTTACTTGGGGATTTGCGGGGGAATTTTCTTTTTTTGCCTCGGACATGAATGACATTTCAGCGCACACCAAAATTAGATAATAAAGCTGCAAATAGTAACTAAGAAAAGGGGGATCCCTAATCAAAGTTTAATTGCCCTGTGTGCATGCATACATATGTAGAGACACATGGAGAAAGAGAAAGAACCCAAAAGGAAAGAATCAGCAAAACCTCGTTGCAAGTAAACTGGTTAAAGCTCCAACATCTACAATCTGATGCCAGTTAGCTTAACATAACATATACAGCGTAATACAACATAAACAATAAAACATAACCTTCAGTGCCTGCTAAAGTCCTCTCCTTTTTCACGCCTTCAGAGAACTAAATGTATTTTTCAGTAAAGCTCTCTAAGACATACAGCTAAGGAGAAGCACCATTAGGAGTCAGAATCAGTATCTTTTGTTGACTCAGTACTCAGTAAGAGGTAGGAGACACAAACGTGGTGATATCTTTTCTTGGGCCAGCTGACACAGTAATGGGAAACAGATGAATTTTCATCACAAAGTTCCTTTTATCAAGTAAGTTAATGACAAATGGTACACAGGAAACCGTAATAAAGTATGGGCAAACTATTAAATTATTACTATAAATAAATTATAATGCTTTACATGCTAAAGATAATTGAGTTTTTACAAACTCCTCAGAGTTGGGGAGAAGTACCTCTATAAATCCACATAGCACAGAAACATGAAGCTTTGAGGTTGGAGATGTCAAGCAGCAAAAGACATCATGGTCAAAAGGACAATGTTTTTATGGCACCGAAACAGAATGGCTTCTCCTAATCACATGCACTCCAGATGGGTTAAAAAACCAAATCTTCATTTAAGCAACAGATCAGCATTTGAGCCCAAGTCTTCCCTTGAAATTGTCTCCCTCACAAGGTAATATCTCTACCAGCCACAGCAAATAAACACCCAGCATTCATGCAACGAGGTTCTTTAACGGAAATGTCTATAGCACTGCCATAATACTTAATGTTATTTCCCTTTGCTAAGACCTAGGGTTACAGTCACCAAAAAAGATTACAGAAAATACTTATTAAAATATCTAGATGTACAAAGCAATTGCGTTCAGCAGGTCATGCTATTTTGTTTGCATACAAAGCTTCCTCTGTTTATCATTCATTAACATGTGTGACATGAAAAATGCAGGCATGATTTTCAAAGCCGTTCAGAATTTAATATCTGCTTCCCACAGGAAGCTTTGAATACTGCAGCCTCAATTCCTTTACTGAACAGATAGCATTAGAGATGAATTTACTTTGTAAGATGCCACTTAAACAGAAAAAAAGAACAAAAAATTAAAATTATTAACATCAAAATAATGCTGAGGTAAAATCCTGATGCCAGTGAAAAAGCTTTTCAGTGACTTCAGCACTGCCCGATTTCCACTTCAGTGGCTTAAAATCAAATAAGTAGAAGTTATCACCATAAATGGAGATAAGAAATTAAGTATCTCAAGTCTACATCTGGCATCCCTACAAAGAACAGTTATTACCCTGAAGAAAATAATAAAACATTACAACAAAAACGTAACTGAAAAAAAAGTTACAACTGAAAATGTAACGTCATAAAGTTATATTACTAAATAAGGGTATGCATTAGAAAAAGCACAAAATTTCCAAAAGTCTACAAAAGAAATTGGAATGCATGGCTATTATTTACATATTTTAATAAATTAATACATTATATCATTCTCAGCAGAGTAATTCCTCGTCATCTAGCAAGGAGTTTCACAACAGTCATGTGACTCACTTTTACTGCATCTGGGAAATTCCTCTAACGCAATCTACATGCTAGCAGAGCACACATGCTGGGCACAAAAGGGTATATAAGCAAGATGGATCGCCCAGATCAGGCATCAGCAATCCTCCGGGACAAGAGAGGTCACCGCTCCACAGAACCAGAGCTAAACGATCCAGTGAAAAGCTCCTGTCTAATCATGAACGGCAAACTTGTGGCTGTCCTGGCTCTTCTCCTGATTTCAGCGGCTATGTCTCAAGGTAAGTAAATCCCTCCCAAGATCCCCATGGCTGTAGTATTGTCTAGGCATCTACTGAGATGCTTGTCCTTGCAGAGAGGTAGCTTTATATTTGTTCCAGCAAATTAGTTTCTTTTGAGAGATTTTCAGCAACTTCTCTTCAGTCAAAAATCTACCACGTAGCCCTTGTATTGAAGAGTTACTGACATCTTGTGGGAAAAATTTTAAGGATGCAACTTCAATTTGCTTTGTTTCTATGTTTCACTTGAAGTGTATGCAGGTAGAGACAGGATCTTCTTCTTAAGTGTTTGAATAGTTCTCTCCCTTCCCACACAAAGAACAGTTTATGATCTCATATTTGTTACTTAATGATTACACTGCCTCAAGCAAGTAATATATAGCTGGGAATGGAGAACAATATGAACATAGAAGCATGGACAAGCCTCCAATTAATGAAAAAATCTATACAATCTGTATAGTTGCCAGTTTGTCGATCCAGATATTAAAATGATGCAACTAACCGTACAGTGTGGTCAGTACCAGTAACCACGAAATATGTGGTTTTATTTCAAAAAGATGTGTTAATTTAGTTTTAAATGTACTTGGGCACCAGCTCCTCTAAAACAAATAAGCAACTGATGTTTATACAGTGAGGATTTAGGCAGCTTGGACAAATGCAGTATTTTAATTGAGAATGTTGTTAAAATTGAGCAGTTGTGCTTTACGTCTGATACAATGACTGTAAGACCACCTCTCAAACCATGATCTTCCTTTTCTGCTCACAGGCAGGGCCCTGGCAAGGATGGGAACCGAGCTCCGGTGCCAGTGCATAGCCACTCATTCAAAGTTCATCCCTCCTAAATCGATTCAAGATGTGAAGCTGACACAGAGTGGCCCCCACTGCAAGAACGTTGAAGTCATGTAAGTAGCTCTGCAAAAGCCTCCCTCTTCTTCATCTACACTCTGCTGCTGCTGCCGCTGCAGCTGCAGGGCCTTTTACGCTTCATGACAAGTATGACTGTCAACCTGCTGGCTGACATGATGTAGTCGGATTTGGTTATTCTTTTGAGAGAGAGAGTTTTAAGTAATACATCATGTTTTTCATCATCTCTATGATCTTATGTATTCCTGAACTGATCATTATTTATCTGTCATGGGACATATTAAATATTTCTGGTGGTAGAACATGAATTTCAAGGACTGGTCAGTTCTTAATACATGAGGTAATAACGTAGTTTAAATCCTGCAATTATTAGGCAGACAAAACTCCCATTAAAACAGTCTATGTCAGTCTCAGAGAGAAAAATTAAGTCCTCACAAGCACATTTAGGGAAACAATGAAACTAAGCTGGTCTTGAAGAGCATGGAGGAGGGACTAAAATGTTGAAATCCTTATACTGCTGAAACACCTTTTCACCACTGGAGGTTTCAATCGTTGTGTAAGAAAGCTCTACTAAAGTAAACAAATTCAAATCAAGTACCCGTATATATTGAGAAAGATTTTTGGGAATGTGTGACTGCTTTGAGAGCAGACACACACTCACACAACTTCTGGACGGCTTTAGTCTCCTCAGTTGTGGAACACATATAACAAAATGGCCAAGTGTAACCTAGAGCAGTCGGGATGAACTTACACTAACTCATCTAAAAATGCAGTCTTACATTCTGTGAGTAAAACAAATCTATGTAGTCGTTTCCTGACTCTTCTTTATTCCCTGTTTTGCAGAGCTACTCTGAAGGACGGCAGAGAGGTGTGCTTGGAGCCCACTGCTCCCTGGGTACAGCTGATCATAAAGGCAATTTTGGCCAAGTAAGTCCCATTCCCTCTCACTTTGGGCAGTTGAGTGGCAAACCTCCCAAAAAAGCCAATTTGTAGGATTTCTTAGTGATACTTTCCATTTTCTCTTAACTACATTTAAAGAACAAGGAAACTTGCTGTTTCATTATAGAATTAGTCTTAGTCTTTCTGACTCTGCTGCAGGGTCCTCGTTCAAGCTGATACGTTCACTACTACACCTTTGAGTACTGGCAACTCTGTCTGGAGGGAAAGGAACACAGAAGTGTTTGGCTCCCTTGGAAAATGAGGCTTTAAAAAATTCATCTTCCTCTTACTTACAGTAGCATATATTAACAATTCATATTTCCGAGTTAATGAGTTTCTTGATGCGAGTAAATGCAGAAACTCATGCTGCAGAAGTTTCCTAGCTGGGCACCAGATACGCACACACTGGGATTTCAGTAATCGCTTTCAAAACATCAACTTTATTCTCTCTATGCCTCAAGATAGCACATAGAGTTGGAAACAGACCACTCATCCTTACCTGTTCGTCCAATGCTAAGCAACGATAACCGTTCTTGAACCTCCTTTTAAATTATCCTCTTCCCTCACCTCTTAACAGGGCTCAACTCAATTCTGACTCGCCACTCTAAGAAGCACCAGGACAGAAAAAATCTGGAAACTGCTCCCGCTCCTCCGTTGAGAGAAACATTCAGGAAAAGCATCATTCAGGCAGCGTACCACCTTCCACCTCCTGCATCAGTGTTGTTATGTTAATTATGGATTATATTATTTTATTTATTTATTTATTTAACTGCATCTATTTAAGAAAGCCTTTCAAAATGATCAGTGTTGTCTGTGGGACACGCTGTTCATTGACACTGAAGACGCTGAATAGCAAAAGTGGTTTGCTAAAGGAAATGAAGAACCCTTGGCAGCCACTTCAGCCAAACAGAACTAGATAAGTGCAATGCACTTACAGCACAGCTTATTTACACTAAGCCTTACTATTTTGCTATTACACCAGCAAACTGGTAAATCCCCTGCTCCCCTGGAGTGCACTAGTATGTTGTGTCAACAACAGTTTCCTGAACCACAGTCAGCCTGTGGCTAAACTGTGAACTGTGATTTCTGACTTTAAAAATCTAACCTACAGAATCTGTAAGACAGTGGGTTTGGTATTTATTTATTGTGATTTCCATGGTATTTATAAATGTATTTATTGACTAGTTTCTATACAAGAGAGAAAATGATGATAATTTATTTCATTTCTACTGGATTTTCCATTCCTACTATTCATTTCTTAAGAAATATTCACAATCCCATTGCTCTTTCAATCAGCTAATGGAAAAAACTGCATCTTACATACACAGAATTTGCTTGTGAGAGTGTAATTATTCCCAACAATGTATTATTAAATGTTTTCTATAAAAAATCTGTTTGTTATCTGTTTGTTATTTTACATTTTCATTTCCTTTATTTGGAAACAGTCGTCTGCTTCATTTTGCCACCTCAGCCTGATTTATGGAACTGAAATGAAAATTTTTAGTACACAGTACCATAACTCACCCTGTTATGGTAACCTGACATTACTGAATGCAATAACAAACTCTTAGGGTAGGGTAAAATGTTCACTCTCCTTTCTTCAGGCTATTCCCAGTCCTTGGGGACTGGTGGGCTGTAGGGCAAGGCTCCTTATTTAAGTACCTTGCAGACAAGCGAATTTTACCCTCAGATGCCTAAACACTGCCAGTGTCCAGATCAGCCCCAGAGTTGTAAATCTTTACTACATCAAAAGGCCACTATTGACTATCAAAATGGGAATTTGTGACCTTTACTCTGGGTACCCAAATATCAAGCATTTGCCCTTGCATAACAACTGCTTCCTATTCTGATCCCTGAAATGGAGAGTGCTGAGTGCACGATGCCTGCCTCTTTTAAAAGGCCCAGCTATTCCTCCCCATCATGCAGAGGCACTGATGCTCAGTGCCTTTGGGAGAGAAGCACTCATACCGCATATGAACACTGAGGAAGGATTCTGGCAGATAAACTGGGATGCTTCATATTGTTCCCACTCCATCTCCTGTCCCATGGGGACTGTGGGAGAGTACAGCCCTCGTGGGTGTAATGCATCTTCCCGCAGGAGTCCCAGTGCAGTTCGTAAGACAGTAGTATAAAACATCCATCCTTAACAATTCTCTGAAATCATCAGCTCCAAGTGCAACAGCGGCCAAATGAAAGCCAGCGACATGTTGGGCATCTTCAGGAAGGGAACTGAGAATAAGAGACAGAGCGCATAGGTTTAAAGCCTACTGTTTTAAAATATTGTATACCTGTTTATTTGAGGCATGCACACTTTTATTTCACTTTTACCTATGATCTAGATAGTCTTAAAACAGAACAAGGATTTTTGCCAGGTAACTTTGTGATCATAAAATAAGAGAGCTGTCTTTGGCTCGCTTCTTCTTGAAGACCCTTCGCGCTTAAGATTGATGTCAGTTGTCTCCTCGACCCATATTATTTTGGCATCAGTTTGAGGCGTTCAGCCACTTGAACTCTAAACAATGTGCCTTCTAGCCCTCCAGTTATCAGGCCGTGCAGAAGCCATAGGAGAAAAATGCACCCTCTGAAAACATGTAGACTATTTAGTAAGAGTCTTTGTGTGTGTGTGTGTGCGTGCGCGTGCACGTGCATGTCTGTGTAACATACCAGAAAGCTGACCAGGTGGTAAGAGTCAGGACATTTGCACCACAATGAAAGGAAGGACCCTGAGATTTCACTGCAGCTAACTACATGTTCTTGTCCATCTTCTCCTTTTCCCGATCTCATGTAAGCTTCTGCTGCCCTTGGCCACTTCGATTAGCATCTAAATTGTATTTCTACAACCCTGTCAGAAGGTATCAATACAGGCTGGGGGGTGAGGGGATTGAGAGCAGCCCTGCCGAGAAGGACTCGGGGGTACTGCTGGATGAAAAGCTGGACACGAGCCAGCAATGTGCGCTCGCAGCCCAGAAGGCCAACCGTATCCTGGGCTGCATCCAAAACAGCATGGCCAGCAGGTCGAGGGAGGGGATTCTGCCCCTCTACTCTGCTCTGGTGAGACCCCACCCGGAGTACTGTGTCCAGCTCTGGAGCCCTCAGCATAAGAAAGACACGGACCTGTTGGAGCGGGTCCAGAAGA